TGTCAAATAAATAAATTTTTTAAAAATCTAAAAAAAAAAATACAAAATACTTAATAATTACAAGGTAGAGAGAGAGTAACTTTACAAGGTAAAACTTGATAGCAACCACTTTAATGAAGTTAATGAAGTGAATATCATTAATAATGATACACATTGAAATCATGCACTACCTGATAACATGCAATGAGATGAACACAACATTGCTTCTGTGATTTTTCTGTCAAAGATGTATGACATGAATCTAATCATGAGGAAACACTCAGTGAACCAAAACCTAGAAATTCCTACAAAATAACTGCCTTCTGGTTTTGGCATCCAGGTAATACTGGGCTCAGAGAATGAGTTGGGCAATGTTTCTTCCCCATCTACAGTTAGAATGAGCTTGTGGAGAATGGACATGAATTCTTGTTTAAATATTTGGTAGAATTCACCGGTGAGGCCATCTGGGCCTAGGCTGTTGTATGGGGAAGTTTAAAAGTCACTAATTCTATCTCTTAGGTCTTTTATTTCCTCTTGAGTCAATTTCAGTCATTTGTGTCTTTCTAGGAAATTGTCCATTTCATCTAAGTTTTTTACTTTGTGGCATGATACTCTCTTATACACATTTTTATTTCTCTAAAGATGGTAGTAATTTCTTTTTCATTCCTAATTTTAATAATATGAATCTTCTCTCTCCCTTTTATCAATATAGCTAAAGGTTTGTCAACTTATTGATTTTTTTCAAATAACTGTGTTTTGATTTCTTGATTATCTCTGTTTTTCTATTCTCTATTTCATTTATTTTGCTCTAATTTTTATTACATAGTATCTTCAGCTTACTTTGGGTTGAGTTTGCTCTTCTTTTCCAATCTCTTCAGTGGAAGATTACATTATTGATTTTTTTCTTCCTTTTTAATATATGAATTTGTAGCTATAACTTTCCTGCTAAACACTGTTTTGGCTGGATCCCATAAGTTAGGTGTGTTGTGTTCCTTTTTTTTTTTTTTTTTTCAGTCTTATCAATGTATTTTCTATATTCCCTTGTGATTTCTCCTTGACCCACTGGTTATTTAGGAGTGTGTTATTTAATTTCCACATATTTGTCTATTTCTAAATATTTATTTTTTATTATTCTCTAATTTCATTACATTGTAGTCAGAGAAAATACTTCAAATGATTTAGAGCCTTTAGAATTTGTTTAGTTTTGTTTTATGTCCTAGCATATGGTTTATCCTGGATAATGTTCCATATACTCTTAAGAAGAATGTGTATGCTGATGCCATTGGATAAATTGTTCTATAGATGTGTTAGACCTAGCAGGATTATATTATGTTCAAGTTCTCTGTTTCCTAGTTGATCTTCTGCCTACTTGTTCCATCACTGGAAGTGAGTTGTTGGGGCACCTTGGTGGCTCAGTCTGTTAAGTGTCTGCCTTTGGCTAAGGTCATGATATCAGGGTCCTGGAATTGAGCCCCACATTGGGCTCTGTGCTCGGCAGGGAGTCTGCTTCTTTCTCTCCCCCTGCTTGTGCTTTCTCTCTCAAATAAATAAATAAAATCTTTTTAAAAGAATAAAGTGAGTTATTGAAGTATAGCTATTATTACTGAGTTTGGGCTCCCTACTCAGGGGGGAGCTTGCTTCTCCCTCTGCCACTCTCCCTGCTTGTGTTCCCTCTCTCACTGTCTCTCAGTCAAATAAATAAATAAAATCTTTGAAATAAATTCATTCATTCATTCATTCATTCATTCATTCCAGTCTCAAAATGTCTGCTTTTTGTACAGATTAACTAATTCAGTTTTATTGTTATTAATATGACTGGTTTTATAACTGTCATTTTACTTTATGTTTTTCCTATGATTCATGATATTTTCTCATTCTTTCTCTCTGTATTGTCTTCATTTGAAGTGAATATTTTTAATGTAGTATTTCAGTTATTTTAATAATTGTTCATTATTTTTAAAATTTATTTTCTTGGTTACCCTAGGGCTTTCAGTATACATCTTAATTCTCAGACCTATTTCGAATTTATACGAACTTAAGGACAGTGAGATAGGGAAATGTTACTTCTATGTAGCTCTATCCTCCTCTGTCTTTTTGTATGATGTTTGCTTATCAGCAAAATCTGTATTTTTTAAAAATATTCATATTTGTTAGAGAGAGAGTATACACACATGGGGGGCGGGGAGACTCCCTGCTGAGCAGGGATTTCCCCATGCAGGGCTCGATCCCAGGACCCTAGGATCATGATCTGAGCTGAAGGTAGATGCTTAACAGACTGAGACACCCAGGTGCCACAGATCTGTATTTTTTGACAGCATCCATAAAAGAACTTTTCTAGTCTCTTTCACATAAAGTCAACCCCTTTAGAGAGAGCTACGAAGCTCTCTATTCTTCCGGCCTGACTCTCGCCATATGTGAAACTCTTTGCTACTGCTCCAGAGATGGAGCAGGAACATTTACCCTTATAGTATCACCCATGAGAAGCAAGACTCTGGGCTGGGGGGCAGGAAGGGAATGGACATCTCTAATCTTCTTGGTTTGTCCCTTCCAGCATAGAACCTTAGTCCTACATGGAAGCTGGGGTGAAGATTACTGGAACCCAGTATTCTCAGCTTGTTGCACCTGTGAATGGGAGCTAGGTGAAGGGAGGGAGCCTCAAAAGTCCTTTGCCAAGAACAGAGCTTCTGCAACACAGAACTGGGAAGGACAAGTAATGCTGGTGACCAACACCTCCTGGGGAGAAATCATAGTCATAAATGGATATGGATGTTTTTATGGTATAGTTTGAGCAGTCTAATCAGAACTGATGCTGGCTATCAGGAGTGGATATATAATTAAGAGGGCACAGTGAAGAATAAAATAGGGGGTTCCTTTTTCAAAACTCATTAGGAATTTCAAGACGGTGACAGTAGATCATTAAATCATGTCTGAAGCTCTTCCAAGGCCCCAAGCACAGGTACCTCTGTAATTACACAGGGCAGAGAGTCATGAAGTCATCCTCATTCGTTTTTGCCCTACAGTAGGATCCTGGAGAACCCCTGCTATTTAAAGTTTATTAAAGGTGTTTCTGGGGGCACCTGGGTGGCTCAGTGGGTTAAGCCTCTGCCTTCAGCTCAGGTCGTGATCTCAGGGTCCTGGGATCGAGCGCCACATTGGGCTCTCTGCTCGACAGAGCCTGCTCCCCGCCCGCCTCTCTGCCTGCCCCTCTGCCTACTTGTGATCTCTCTCTGTCAAATAAGTAAATAAAATCTTTTTTTTTTTTAAAGGTGTTTCTGGGAGGTCCTAGGGGAGAGGCTTCTAAGTGAGGGGATAGGGCAGCCCTAGGTAACAGAAGTCAGATGGGAGAGAGGGGGGATGTGACTTAGGGGACTATCTATATATATCAAACATTTGGGAAATCTTTGGTATCTTAAAATTCTATCATAATGCGAAAAAAAAAAAAAAGGACTTGAAAAAATTCAATTTCAGAAAATTTGGAGTCACATTATTGAAAGGTGATTAAACCTATAGAGTTAGTAGGCCAGGAGTTCCAGGGGTCCTTCTGCAAAGACATTTTGTCTTTTTGTCCAGATTTGTTGTCATTTTGTTGTCATATCCAGTTTATTAGGGCAATTTTGGTAGGGACTTGTAGGTTTATGGCAGGAATTCCAGCAATCTTTTGATTAGTAGAACTTGTTATGCAGCTCTGAAGAGAGGAATTGAAATACTTGTTCCTGGAGACCCACTCATGTGGCTGACTTCCATTTCTGTCTAGGCTTGACATTTTCCCCTCCACATTCCTCCTTCTTCCCAAACACCTCTCAACACTTCAAAAACATCTTTAGCAAGACCTGGTTTGAGAGTAATTTGCTAATCATATATATTGCTATGGGGCTTCTAATGTTTAACAAGGATAGGCCTTAGGAAGGTGGTAGTGCATCTGTCACTGATTACAAGTGACAGTAGAGGGTGGTATTCTGGTTTACACCTCAGTTTTATATCTTCTTCCCCTTTTAGAGATAAATGGTCACTACCAATAATAGTCAAAGCTGTGGTTATCCTGCTCATGGGCTTATCTCTTCATTATACTGTTTTAATCAATTTCATTCTAAAATGCTCCTATCTATCAGTGCTTTTCAGATTGAATGTGCAAATGAATCACCTGGGGATGTTCTTAAAATACAGATTGCTAATTAAGTAGGTTTGGGTTAAGTTCTGAGATTCTGCATTTCTAATAAGCTCCCAAGAAATCCCTACTCTATTGGTCTGTGGACCACAAGGAAGAAACACTCTGAATAATATTAAACAGACATTTGTCCAAACTAAAACTTGGCTCTTGACTGTACTCTATAGGTCATTATTCCCTAAGTTTTAAAGCAACTCTCTACACTTAGGTTGCCATCTTCTCTCCCAGAAGTTAATTGTCAATTAGTCTGAAAGTTATATTTACTTTTAAAAGGCTTCTTAGTAATTTCAAGGCTTCTGCCTTTTGGTTCCTGAACTTTAAAAAAAAAAATCACACCATCAGAAAGTAGGAGATGCGGCCTGCCAACTAGTACAGGAAACTCCCAAGCTTTTACTACATATTTGTGACATCTGGATTTTTCAAATATGATCTCTTTACTCATTTCATTATTTTCAGCCTTCCTATGCATTCATTTCTTCCACCTTTTTCACAAAATATAAAGCACATATTTAGACTATCAAATGTACTGAAAACTTCTTATTTCTTATTAATCCTCTCCACAGGTTAATTTTAAAGCCAAACAACTTTACTCATGGTGAATACATTCATCCCAAGTATTTTTTTTTTAAATGAGAATCTCATTTTCCACAATCAGCAATATTTCTGGCTTAGTGCAAGTTATAAAAGCACACTGTTTTATTAACACATCAGTGAATAGAATCTGACCCAACCCTTGACTTCTCTATGTGTAGTACTCTGACTATGTATTAATGAGCAGAAAGCTTATTAATAGAATCCAGAAAATGTACTACTAGTTGAGGGTTTGAGTATTCTAAAGCCTACTTAAATACAACAATGCTTTTAAAACAAGATTTATTCAATATTTGGTGAAAAGCTTCAGTTTAACAAGACTCATATTTAGCATTTGGTCATTAAGACTGAAAGTTAATGAGTCAAAAAAATGTCTCCTGATGAGAAAAGACTTCTTTTTTTGCATGAAAGATCTGAAATTAAAAAAAAAAAGAGCTCAATTATTAACAAATAATAATAACACAAACTATTTCAACTCAGATTAGTAACTCAGAGAAATAGATTTTTAAAAAGCATTCAGCAGAGAAATACAGTGAAACATTTCATGCACATTCAAATTTCCCTTTATCTTTAAAAGACTTGGCATTAAGATATTTTTCTCCAAATCACAATTTCTCCTTAAAGCCCACCAATCTTTACTGACCTTCATTTTCTGAAATTGTATAACATTTGTACAGCTTAAATAGGAACTATCTAAAAACAGCTCACAGTACAGATTATTACTTTTTATGGATTCTATCTCCCCAGCTAGAGTATATAAACTCTTGGAGGGCAGACACTATCTTTTTCAATTTGGGGGATTTTTGCCTGTGACATACTAGTAATATATTTCAGGCTATATTCAGTTTAAGTCACTCTTTCCTTCCTCCCAATCCTGCTTTTCTCCTGTAACTCTTTCCTTATATTGTTCCCTAATCTAGAGGTGAATAGTGTTTCATATTCCAAAACATTATTCCTATATTTCAACAAAAGTAAATCTACCTCCAAATTTAGCTTTATAGGATTAATTTTTTAAATTATTATATTTTCTGAAGACATCATCATAATCCATACAACATCAATTATACACCCACAGTTTATAGGAAAAATTATAAAACATAGGTCTATCAATTCTAAACACAGAACATTTATTTGTTAGCTACTATCTCAGACTAAACATTATGTTATACAACTTACCGTTTTCAGTAAAGCCCTTTGATTATACAAAAGCAGACAAGTTATTACCAAAACAAACAGTGAGATAAAAGCAAATGGTATCAAGAAAAATACTACGGTTTCCTTCCATTTGTCACCTAGGATTAAAAATTTAAAAAAAAAAAAAAAAAGGAAAGGTTAGATGTTTACAATTATTTTTGAAGCTAAATTAGTTTGTAAATAAGCTAGTAACTGGTGAAGAACTGAGTTAAACTTGGAAGCCTCTGCCATATTTGCTAGTGTGTAGGTACCACAGTTATGTTTGAGTATAGCATTCCTTCCATTTGTGCAATTTGTATATAGAACAATTACTTGACTAAATGTCACATCTCTTCATTGCACTTAGAAAAACAACTCTCCAAAGCTCAATTCTTGTTTTCCGATATGTTTTCATTTAAAATTTTACCTTGTGAAATTTCATACCAAAATGATAAAATATTAGCTAAGTGATTAGAAAAACAGGTCTTGTGTATCTCTTAACTCTTACTAAGTCGAAGTTTTATATTATATCACCTAATGCTATAGTGAGCAAAATCTGGTAACAGGGAGCAGAATACATGACCAGAAAATACACCACCTTGACAATGGGATTATTTTGAGCCAAAGGCAATCAAGACTCAGCAGACTGGGTGGCTCAATTCTTAAGCTTCTGCCTTTGGCTCAGGTCATGATCCCCATATCCTAGGACTGAGCCCAGCATCAGGCTCCCTGCTCAGAGGGAAGCCTGCTTCTCCCTCTCTCACTCCCTCCCCCTGTTTGTGTTCCCTCTCTCTCTCTCTACATAAATAAAATCTTAAAAAAAAAAACAAAAAAAAACCAACTCAGCAGACTCAAGAAAAATGTTTACCTCTCTCTTAACCACATAAAAGAATTTAGATTAGGCAGCCTGGTCTGAGAGCAAGCTATTACCAGAAACAACTTTCATTTGAATCACCTATCTGTATGGTGGGGCAAACATGTAATTACAGTAGCATCCCTCCACCATCAACATCCTTATCCATGGTTTTGCTTTCTATGGTTTCAGTTACAAGTGGTCAACTGCAGTCCAGAAGCAGATGATCCTCCTTCTGATGTATAATCAGATCAACAGTAGCCTAATGCTATGTCATAATGCCTACAGTATAGCCTCTCTTCATCTCATCACTTAGACGTTTTATCATCTCACATCATCACAAGAAGGGAAGATTGAGTATAAGGTATTTTGAAAGACCACATTCAGGGGCACCTGGGTGGCTCAGTGGGTTAAGGCCTCTGCCTTTGGCTCAGGTCATGATCCCAGGGTCCTGGGATCGAGCCTCACATCGGGCTTTCTGCTCAGCAGGGAGCCTGCTTCTCCCTCTCTCTCTGCCTGCCTCTCTGCCTACTTGTGATCTCTGTCAAATAAATAAATAAAATCTTTAAAAAAAAAGAAAGAAAGAAAGAAAGACCACATTCACATAGCTTTTATCACAGTATATTGTTATAACTGTTCTATTGTATTAGCTATTGCTGTTAAATCTCTTCCTGTGCCTACTCCTAAATTAAACTTTACCATAGATTATATAGGAAAAAACAGTTTATAGAGGGTTCAGTACTCTCAGTGGTGTTAGGCATCCATTGGGGGTCTTGGAACATATCCCCCTCTTCCTATTGTCCTGTGAATTACCCTTCTCCCACTTTGAAATCCCAGGTCCCAATCCCATTCCTTAGCTCATGATGGCATATAAGCCTCAACTGCCCTAATTGCCCTTGGGTCTCACATTTCCATGGGGCCCCTGTACTTATGAAATTAACTTTTTTTTATTGTTAATCTATCTTATATCAGTTTAATTATTAGAGAAGCCAAAGAACCTAGAAGACTAGAAGGAACATTTTTCCTCCACAACAGTTAGTGTATTCGGCAGGATAAATTTTAACAGGCTGGCACGAATTCTTACTATGTGAGTCTCCTGGATCTCTGCCTACAGAGTCTCATGAAAGCAAGAGTGGTAGGAGTCCTTTTCTTTTCTAAATTTAGATTAACAGGAGAAAATATTTATGGAACAAGTTCCTTGGTGCAGTACATCTGATAAAGATTTGGTATTAGTACTTTTGTTTTCTATTAATCCTTTGCCTCTGTTTCTTTTTGTCACTTTCTACACCTTGAGAGCTTGGCTTTATGACCAGTGAGAATATTCTGCCAACCAAAGGGTACATGTACCAGTGTGCATTTGGCAGAGAGCTGAACAGGCTGTGGATCTGAGCAGACGGAGTTAGGCCTGGGTCCAATGTAAAAACCAGAATTTGGGCTAAACTAGTCTAGACTTAGGTTTCTTGGTCTGACTCTGCCAGCTGTCAGGGGAATTTTGTCTTAAGGGGTCTCAGTTCATAAGGGGCCTTTGTCATCTCAATTTTTGTTGTCTCTTTGTGATAATAAAGGTCTTTGTTTTCTTAGGCTGAATCCTGTGAGGGCTGTATCTTCTGTACTCTCCTTTGGGATACCTTTTTGTCCATAGAGAGGCTTATTGATTTGAGTCACTATTGAGATTAATAGATCGTACTTATCAATGGCCAGAAAATGGATCTTTTGAATTAGATTTCTAGATTGAAGCTTTTAGAGAACACTCATCCTATTGACAACTGTGGAAAAACTAAATTGAAAAGGGGACACAGGGGCGCCTGGGTGGCTCAGTTGGTGAGTATCTGCTTTTGCCTCGGGTTGTGATCCCAGGATCCTGGGATCAAGCCCTGCGTCGGGCTCCTTGCGTGCTTCTCCCTCTCCCACTCCCCCTGCTTGTGTTCTCTCTCACTCTCTCTGTCAAATAAATAACATCTTTTAAAAATAAAAATAATAAAAAATATAAATGGAACACAAAGGAATATAATATGGCAAGCCTTAGGGACTCCCTTAACAAAATGGAAGAACAAAAATTAGAAAAAAATTAAAGTCTACATCCAATGTAAATTCTCCTTTTCAAAATCTGGCTCCATCTGCCTAGTTCAGCTTCCCCTTTCCTCTAACATTTACAGAGAATACTCTTGCCTGATCTCCAGGTCCAGGGTATACGGGTTACTTGTGTAAATACTGAAAGCTAGGAAGTGATTTTAGCAGAAGCACCCAATAAGGGTGGTGGGACTCATTTTGCTATCCCTTATAATTCCTACTTTCCAGGGCTCTTTAATCAGGCTCTACCAGCTTCAGGTCTTCCCATATCAAGTCCTTTTCAGGTATATCCTGGACCCCCACTGTGAAGAATTCATGTCCCATGGACAGCAGCCATTCTTTTAAATTCTAAAGCCCCTTTACTTTTGCTTTCAGATCACACAAATTTAGAGAGGAGTTGGAAAGATTAGTGGCCATTCAAAACCCCCACTCAAAAGGACCTTATTAGATGCTAACGGGTGTTCTTCCCACCGGTGTATTGCAGTTAAGAGACAAATAATATGGCTCCCTGAGAAAACTGTCCTCCCTCCCCACCCCCCAAAATATGACCAGAATTTCTCTTAGGCCCTCCTACAAGTGATCAGCTGACAGCCAATGTTCAGGGGCAGATAGAAGCAACAGGAGAAGCTTCCCTCCAACTCTGGAACAACGGTGAACTGGTCCAAGTTTAAATTGTACACTCAGAAAGAAGGCCTTTGCTTAAAAGGTTTGCTTAAAAGTTTTGCTTAAAAGTTTTATACAGACTTTACAAAGGCCCTATGCAAATTCTTCAACATCAACTCAAATGTCCTCATATTTATCCTTCCCTGAAGGAAGGTTCCCATATGGGCCCCTCCCAGAGTTGATGAGACCCTGAGGGACTTTCTCGTAAACTGCTACGTTACTCCCTTAAACAGACAAGGGAAAACTAACACTAAAATTAATTAAAAACTTTGCCAAATTCTGGAGTCTGCAAAGAGCATCTTGGGAAAACTGGTAGAAGCCAGCAAAGGGTGAGAATTCTTACCAGAGTCAGCTCTCCCAAATCTCTGCATAGTGCTCAATCAAGAGAAGAAAATAAAATTTAATATTGTCCCTTCCTTTTCAAATCCAGACCCACTGGTTATTGATCCTGTCTCTCCCAGAGATAGCTATATGCCTTCTTGCTTGTCTCATTTGTGTCCTACAAATCAGGCTTGGATTCCTGCTGCCTGGGACATGTAGGTGGTTGATTCCTTCCTTTGGCTATCTTTGGGAGTGACTCTGGATCTTGGGAAGGTAATATCCTTTGCATCCTCTTTGGAGCCCTTCTTACACCAAGCGGGGGTTGTTAAGTACTGCCAGAAAAACTGTTTGTCCCAGCTGAAAACTCACAAGATAGTCTAAAGGATTCTTTAGCTGTTCTATGGTCAGAAGTTGGTCAGGAACTGAAAGCTGATACGCAGCGCCTGAAAGAATTTTTTTTTCTAAGGCTTCCTTCCCTAAACCGAAATGAAATTATGCACCCAGAAAGAAAAACCTTCTGAAGCCTTTGTAAAAGGATTTACTAAAACATTCCAAAGATCCATGGTATAAAAAAGCAAATTGAAGATAAGGTACTTTAATGGGAGGATCAACCTCTTATGTCATTTAGGCTGCAGTCCAGTTCTTGGAGAAAATAAGAGTAATTGTCCTTATCTTATGAATCTTTACAGAATGAGAAATGCAGCTGTAGAGGTAGTTGAAAGTTCACTTCTTCCTTTTTATCACTCCCCAAACCTCCCCCGTTTATTTCTAAAGGCTTGTTTAGTATTGTAAAAATTCTGGCCTTAGGAAACTAAAGTCCTTGTTGGAGGAACACGCATTCTTTCCCTGTGTCTTTGGTAAGTCCTTTTATCTAGGTCATCTCTTTAAAGTACAAACTTCAGGGAGGTAATTCTTACCAGAAGAACTCAAAAATAAAAAGGTCATTTGAAACTTAGATGAATGCTTCTCACAAATACTAATTTGTATTATTGTACCTGATTCAATGGCAGTATTTTTTAAATGGAAGCTATAAGTTTTCTGTCTGTATATTTCTAGTTATTTATTTTTTAATATTTTATTTGAAACAGAGAGAGAGAGCGTGCACACAAGCGCGCGCGCACACACACACACACACACACATGCACACATGCAGGGGTAAGGGCAGAGGGAAAGGGACAAGCAGACTCCCTGCTGAGCTTGGAGCCCTCCTGGGGCTTGATCCCAGGGCCCTGAGGTCATGACCTGAGCAGAAGTCAGAAGCTTAACCAACTGAGACACCCAGGCGCCCCTGTTTGTGTGTGTTTATATATATGTATTTGAAGATATTTTTCTGCCTATGGATAGTACTGTCAAAATTAATTTGTAAAAAAAATTCTATTTAACCGACTTAAAGAAAATTAAACATTTATATAAACTGAATTCTCAGAAACATAATAAGAAACTAACCCAAATGAATTTCAGGTTTACATTATCTGGGAAAATACTGGGTATTAAAACTACTTTAAGTTTGTTGGTTTAATTAAAACAGGCATATCTTTCAAGTTACCAGGATTAAACATAATTCTTTTATTCTACCAAGGCTTATTAAAGGTCAAAAGAGTTATGTTATCTTTTACAAAATTTGTCAGCATGAAAAAATAGTTTGAGATGACGGTTGGCTTTGTTTCATGTCTTATCAAGTTTTTGTGAGTAATATAAACGTAATTGAGAACAATTAGAGAGATATTTATGAAATAAGAGTTTTTTAGGTGAATTTTTTTGTTTCCCCAATTCTTTTTGGTAACATAAAACCTTTTGGTAAGTTAGGGGCACCTAGGTGGCTCAGTGGGTTCTGCCTTCGGCTCAGGTCCTGATCCCAGGGTACTGGGATGGAGCCCTGCATCGGGCTCTCTGCTCAGCAGGGAGCCTGCTTCACCATTCCTCTCTCTCTGCCTACCTGTGATCTGTGTCTGTCAAATAAATAAAGTCTTTAAAAAAAAAAAAGTCTTCGTAAGTTAAGTGAAGGATAGCTCTAAATATCCATAATATAGTAATAAACAAAGATCATTTGGGGGGCACCTGGGTGGCTCAGTCCTTAAGTGTCTGCTTTCAGCACAGGTCATGATCCAGAGTCCTGGGATCTAGCCCCTCATCCAGCCCTGCAGCAGCCCCACATATGGCTCCCCACTCAGTGGGGAGTCTACTTCTCCCTCTGCCCCTTCCCCAATTCATGTTCTCTCTCTCTCTCTCTCACAAATAAATAAAATCTTTTTTTTAAAGAAAAAAGACATTTTTATTTTATTTATTTCTTTATTTAAAATTTTATTTATTCATTTGACAGACAGAGATCACAAGTAGGCAGAGAAGCAGGCAGAGAGAGAGGAAGGGAACCAGGCTCCCTGCCGAGCAGAGAGCCTGATGTGGGGCTAGATCCCAGGAACCCGAGTTCATGACCTGAGCCGAAGGCAGAGGCTTTAACCCACTGAGCCACCAGGCACCCCGACAAAAGATATTTTTAAATAAAATAAAATACTAAAACGTTAATTGCTGAACATAAGTTTATCTATTTTTTTCTTCCTATTGCTAAAGGAAAAGATAATAGGCTCAAAATGGAGTCCCTTGTGCTAAGCTCCACACCAGAAAACTAAGACTTAAAATCTAACTTAATTACAGTTTCAGCATTGTGCCAGGGACATGACCTTTATCAAGTGTCTGGAATTACCTGATCAGTACTAGTGAGATAATCTGCCTGGTAGACCTCTGACCCCTTTCATCCCGTAAAGGAAGGTGACCTTTCCTAAAATAATCCATAATTTTCCCCCTTTTGCCTATAAAACCTTCCATTTCATACAGCTCCTCAGAGCTCCTTCCTATTTGCTAAATGGGATGTTGCTCAATTTATAAATCTTACATAAAGCCAATCAGATCTTCAAATTTACACAGTTGAATTTTGTTTTTTAAACACTATTACAAAGAAACTACGATATTGGGGTCTGTTGGTAAGCATGTCTTGTGTTATACTGAAAGACTATATTGTGAAGAAACATATGTTTCTTTTTTTTTTTTTCCAAAGATTTTATTTATTTATTTGACAGACAGAGACCACACGTAGGCAGAGAGGCAGAGAGGCAGAGAGGCAGGCTCCCTGCTGAGCAGAGAGTGGAATGCGGGGCTCGATCCCAGGACCCCAGGATCATGACCTGAGCCGAAGGCAGAGGCTTTAGCCCACTGAGCCACCCAGGCACCCCAAAACATATGTTTCTAGAAATTATGAAATGTATTCATAAATTTTCCAATCTAAAGAATGTTGGCGAAATATATAGTTCACAATTGCTTTAGTTTCACTATAAATTAAGATTTCTAAGGATTAAGAATTCTAATTAATACATGTAATTAAAGCTGCTAGAAATAATAAGGAAAACATGTCTGTATGCAAGGATAGTATGATATGCATGTTTGGTAAGAGAGGTTATGAGGAATGGAGATGTATTTTTTGTTGAGGAAAAAGAAAGTAGTTTTATCCTAAAATCAAACTGGTTGTTTCAGAAGGAGAATGAAGATAATAAAGGACAAATTATATAGAAAATTAGGAAGAAAGAAAGAGAGTCATACCTTGTGTTCTTAAGTTGGCTAAAATAGAATTCATTTATTACAGGGGATATAAAGTTAAAGTTTAAAATCAGTAATGCACTTTCATAAAACTGGAACTTAATTTTCTTTTCCATAAATCTATGTTTGAGGTGCTTGCTAATTTATCTTCTACTTATAGACGATATGCAAGAGCATTTTTATTTCCATTATTACAAAATACACTGAAAGAAAATATATTTGTTACCAAATAGCTATTCAGTTACTGCTCTTATCTCATACCTTTCCAACATTGTTCATCACTCCACTCACTCCAGAGTCCATCATCTGAGCAATACATATTTATTTTACTTCTTACCAAAAAGCATAATTTTTTACTTTCATTTGATGTTCTTGTGATTTGTATCTCATTTTCAACTGTGGTAGTCTGAAAGCCAAGTAAAAAATAAGATGCTATTATTTGATCTAATTGCAGCTAGATAGATCTCATTTGACTTGTTATTTTTGTAGCAGATTTTATTACATGAAATATACATATCAAATGACAAGAAAGCTATATACCAAATCTTTATTTTTTTTTTAAGATTTTATTTATTTGACAGAGATCACAAGTAGGCAGAGAGGCAGCCAGAGAGAGAGGAAGGGAAACAGGCTCCCTGCTGAGTGGAGAGCCCGACGTGAGTCTTGATCCCAGGACCCTGGGAATGACCCTGGGATCATGACCTGAGCAGAAGGCAGACGCTTTAACCCACTGAGTCACCCAGGCGCCCCTATATACCAAATCTTAACAGTGATTATCTCTGCATGGTGGGTTTTTTTTTTTTTTTCATTTTTTTCTTCCCTTCCTTATCTGTATTATAAAATTTTTCTATAATAATGGATCACCTGTAGTAAAGGCATGTGGGACAGAGCAAAATGTCTACATAGCTTTATTGTTTATGATAACCAGTATTTGGAGTAGTGTCAAATTTCTCAGATTACATAAACTGGAATACGCTACAGATAATGAGTTAGCAAAAGGAGCCATCATGTGAATGTTATTTCTATGGAAACTACAGAGTTCATACACATAAAGTCTTTCTCTCTCTCTCTCTCTCTCTCTCTCTCCTTATTTTGGCTAACTGCCATAAAAGCTACATAACAGTGCTCAGGGCTTAGCATGAAACTTCTTCAGATATGAGAATACACAAGGCTAGATGTTCTCAAAGGGAAAAAAAAAATCATTGAAGAAATTGCTTCGGTTTTGCATTTCAAAGAACTGAACAGTATCTCTCATCCAAAATAACAGCTTCTATTTTGTTGCATCTTTTCTTGGGAACCAGCATAACATAGTGGACTGGGAATAGCTGAAAAATTTGTAAGTCAATTCACTTCCTTGGGACATGTAAATCAATTCAACTCCCAGTTTTCTTCTTATCCGTAGATGAAATTAATTGATTAGAACTAATGGCTCACCTAAGCATCTCCACCACTTTCTAAGTTGGAAACCAATGAATAAAATTAACATATAACAATGTAGGGCTAAAGGCATCATCACACTGTTGTTGCTGGGGGGGTAATGAGTCTTGCAATCATTGCCTCCTTCCTCTGTCAGCCCCTCTCCTGAATTACAAGCAATTCAAGTAGCCCTGTCAGAGTCTAATTCAGACATGATGCTTGTTCCTCAAGAAGTGATTTCATTGTGTTGTTTTCCTTTCTTTTCACCAAAGGCCTCATCATAACCCATCTCATACTTGCACTTGGCAACTTTAATTTATTGGCACAATATTAGAAACAACTGACTACATTATCTCTAAAGTCCTAATGTAGCTTTAAAATTTCTATGACTGATTATGCTTTCAGACTACAAGCAAGCATCTTTCTTTTGTCTCCTACATTTATTGTTTTCTGGAAATTATACTAAGATACATGTCATATTCTATTCCTCATGTGGATAGCAACTGATTCTGGTTCTCATATTTGCTTATTTTATTAAGTCTATATTTTAAAAAAATTAAAAACTATGTTTACGTTTTTTCCAAACAAATGCAATGTTCGTACCACCCAGGTAGTGTCATCTTCGGTGAATTCAATTTCATAAATAAAACATTTGGCTGGAATGGGTCCTTTAGGCATGCTCCATCTCAGGTTAACTTCCTCTGAATTCTCCACAGTAAGACTAAGGTACTCTGGTGGCAAAGGTTTAACTGAAAAGCGAAAGGAAGCCATTTCAACATGGAAGTCATTAAGTTTAGCAGTAGCTCTTATCAAAAGCTAGGGAAACCTAGTAAGAGAAATCTCTAAGATAAATCGGATGGGTCAAGACTAATCTCTACAATGTGAATTAAAATCAAAGTTGCTTGGCAACCAAGACTAGTTTATTGAGAAACTTGGTTATTTTGGAAACTAAATTTTGGTAAGTCACATATTGACAAATATTTAAACCCAAAAGAAAACTTAGAAGATCCAAATCATTACAGTCATTATTCCATTTGGTAGCATTAGGAACAACTGCCACAACAATTACCACTATTATTTTTATCAATAGCTAACTCTCATTTAGACCTTATGATGTGTCAGGCACTGAACCAGGGATGTCACATCATAAACTCACTCATGGCGGTGTCTACATGGCTTAGTCGGTTAAGCGCCTGTCTTCAGCTCAGGTCATGATCCTAGGGTCCTGAGATCAAACCCCTCTTTGGTCTCCCTGCTCAACAAGGGAGTCTGTTTCTCCTTCTTCCCTCCCCCCACCACTCCACAATGCTCTCTCTTGCTCGCTCTCCTCTCAAATAAAATCTTAAAAAAAAAAAAAAAAAAACTCACTCATGTCTCACAATAAACCTATGAATTGTCCTCTATCATCCTCATTTTACTGATAAGGAAATTGAAACAGACATTAAAAGTAACTTGCCCGAAGTTATACAGCTACAAACTGGTAAATCTAAGATTCAAATCCAGGTATGGCTGACTCTAAAACCTGACATTATTGTAACACTAGAACTAAGAACTCCAACTCAGAATATCCAACCATTTGTGCACTGAGATGTGGGAATAAGGGATTCTATAATTACTCCATCATTAACACTAGACAAAAATACTTTACAGCAGACCAACTCTTTGAAACTAGGGAATAAATTGTAAATTCTAAATAAAAATTTAAAAAAAATTTCTTGATGCAATGCCTTATTCCTGTACTTTTATATTTAATAAGAGCTTCTTCATATGTTCTCTTGGCCCTCCTTTCTCAGGCTTTGCATTTCCATAACTTTTTCTATATCTTTGTCTCCATCTCTTCTCTTCCATGTGATTGTAAATGGCTTAAACTAGAAACATTTTGAAGTTGTTTAACTCACCTATATTTTGAAGCTGAAAAATAAAATAGCTGGGTTGGATAGGATGGGATTCTGATGATCCATTAACACAGATATAGAAATCTTTATAGTCTGATGACTCCAAATTGGGAAACCTGCAACCTGTATTTTTTCCATTAGCCTTGATGTAATCGGGGCACTGTATTGCGTGCTTCAAGCCCTCAAACCTGTAAAAAGAGGTATTGTAAGAATTGTGCTTCCCAATATCTTAAAGTATCATGGTATTCAGTTTTCAACTATTTTAAGATACCAAGTGAATAAAAAAATCATTTAATAACATCCAATATTTATTGGGCACCAACTCTGTGCCAAATCCTATGCTATGTGCTAGAGATATAATAATAAAGAAAGCATATTTGATAATTTCATGGAGATTACAATCTGATGGGAATCTTTACAAAATATCGAGGATAAGGCAAGGATTCTTACTCGTGTATTGAAGTGATATTAACTTGCCCACAGGATTTGTGAATCAGAGTAAGATTTCTATTTAAAAAAACCTGGGGTTTAAATATATAATGCTGGGTGGTACTGCTCTTTTAATATTGTACTGGAGAACTTATATTAGAAGAAAGCACATCTAAAAAGCAGACTTACAAAATACTGCTATGTTTAATAAAATGAATGAAAGACCTCTGAAGACATCATACACATCAAGAGCTAAGCCTCAGAAAAGACAACAGAGGGGTCAAAAAGAAAAAAAGCTGTCTGGCAAATAAATATCTAATTTCCCATTCTCTTTGAAAAGAAATGTTGCCATATCATTGAAAGTTAACCTCTTTCCAGTAATAAAGCTAATGGGAATTAGGGAGGATTTCCCTACTGATTTTCAAAACACAAATGTCTGGTTTATTTTCCTAAATTATATTTTGCAGTGCAAAATGTGACATCTGCAAAAGCAGCCAAAATCCCTCTTGAAATTAGGCCAAGCTTGCAGCTGATCAGGTGCTGATACAAATAGCCAAACTTTACTGAATTCACTTTTTGCCAAGTAGTCAGTTTGTTTCCATTGTTTGTTTTTTATCCCAAGTTGTTATGTATTTGCATGAGGGGGGTGGTAAAAGAATTTTATGATAGTGAAAATTATTTTTTAACACAGCAGCTAGAGAGAGGGAAGAAAATACAAGCATTCTATAATAAGCTTTAATTTCCCTTTTCAAGTAGTCAAATATTTACTTTGGGCAGATTTTGCAAAGTTATCGTCTCTTGGTTAAGTTCACCTAATTATGTTTGGGAGACTTGAGTTTTAGGCTTGACTTTACCCAGATTTACTATGTGCCAGTGTGAAGCCTCATGGCAACCTCAGATGTCAATATTTACCTCTGGCTACTAAGATGAAGATAAAGCTATGTTAAATATGAACTACAATGTATAAAAGGGCATACTTTTTTATCTAGAACAGTGCCTGGCATTTTATAATTGCTTAATATTTGCTGAATTAATGAACAAATAAATTAGACTGTAGAGATTGACCCAGCTAATTCCAGATGAAGAAACCCCAGAAAGGAAAATGGCTTGCCCAAGACCACCAAACTCAATGAGGTTCTAACGCCAGAGCAGGCATTAAACCTAGTTCTCAGTATTCTCAATAGCTTATGGCTTATCAGTTATGTCTTATGATTTGTCTAAAGAAAAAAGCCATGATAATTTGGGCCTGAAACACAAAGAGTAACACTTTGTCCTCTCTTGCTTTTTAACATTATTTTGTAAATGCATAAATTCTGATACATATTTATCAATGTAACAATACTCTCATTTATGAATATTTTGTGATGCTCTATGATAGGCATAGCACAGCACAGATCGTGAAAAGAAATGTACGAAACAGTTCGTGCCCACTAATCACTTAAAAATTTAAGGGACTAGACAAAGCACACATATATGACAAAAATTTAAATGTCATTCGGACAAGAAATTAAGAGCTAAAATAAGTAATAGTTCGGAGAAAAACTGAACAGAAGTTGATGTGATCAGTAAAGAGTTAATGAAACTGAATACCAGATGGGCCTTGAAAGATGGGTGTTGGGTAAGGGTTAGTGAGAAAGCCAGAGGGCATCCCAGATAGTAATGCACACAAAGGCATAAAAGATCATAACAGAGGTGAGGGAAAAAAATGTAGAGATGGGTCTAAATGGAGTGGAACACTCACACCGTGATAGTAGAAGGTAATGTTGGAAGAGCAGTGATAAAGTGAGGCAGACATTTGAATGCCAGACAAGGTTTTTATCCTGGAGCAATGAATAGCCACTGAAAGGTTTTGATATATGAAAATAGCAATATAGGAAGATAAATCTGGCTACACTGTGCAGAATGAATAGGAAGGGAAGAGACTGGAAGCAGAGACCATCATTTGGGAAACTATGGGAGTCATCCAGTTGTGGAACAGAGGTGAGCCTACAGTAGAGTTCTTACAGTAGAGATGGGAAGTGAAGAACAGATGTGCAACCTTAGAAAGCAGTGTCAGAATGCAGTGAACAATGTTATCATGAAACAATGAAGGAATGAAGGAGATAGAAGATTCAGATGGCTCTAAGTTTAAAGCCTCAGTGATAGTTAAAAAAGGGAAGTCAGAAAAAGGATTCAGTGTAAATAGGTACTTGTTTTTTAAAAGGAGAGAGTATAGGGCCCCTGGGTGGCTCAGTTGGTTAAGGAACTGCCTTCGGCGCAGGTCATGATCCTGGAGTCCCGGGATCGAGTCCCACATCAGACTCTCTGCTTGGCAGGAAGTCTGCTTCTCCCTCTGGCCCTCCCCCCCCCCATGCTCTCTCTCTCATTCTCTCTTTCTCAAATAAATAAATAAATAAAATCTTAAAAAAAATAAAATAAAAGGAGAGAGTATAAAATATGCCAAAACTTTTTAGGTTATAATCCTATATATCTAAAGGATACAAAATTTAATCCAGTACAGGAACAGTGTTGCATTCCTTATAGCACCCATAGAGTGACTTCCAGTAGCTACAGCCTAAACCTACTTATTCCCCTTGAAAACTCCAAATAATTGTAAGCAACCTTCATCATAAATGCAACTCTGAAAAATAATAAATTTAATTTAATAAAAATACAGTTATTCATACTATAATATTTATAGATACTTTCTTAATACGGAATTCTTATTATAAAAATACTTACCAGTAAAACAATTGGTAATTGGTAACCAAATGGGCACTCACACCAGGTTTCCAAGAACAGAGTAAATGCTGCCAGTTGTAATATACACAGTCCATTTCCCGAACTTTGGTATCCTCGTTTCCTAAAGAATGAATGAACTATCAATGTTTGAGAGGCATGGTTATGAATAATTTGGGAAATCACTATGCAATTTAATTCATTTCTTTTGATCTCTCCATTTCATTTAGCAATCAATATATAACCAGGAATATTCCAAAAGGAAATTATTAGAAGTCACTTCACTGTAATGGGACATGTAAAAATCAAAAAACTTTTGAGGGCTCATTTAATGGTACTAGTGTAAGCATATGAAAAGGTACTAAATTAATAATTCTAGGATGCAGGGTGCCTGGGTGGCTCAGTTGGTTGGGCAACTGTCTTCGGCTCAGGTCATGGGCCCAGGGTCCTGGAATTGAACCCTGCATCAGGCTCCCTATTCAGCGGGGGCCTGCTTCTCCCTCTCCCTCTGTCTGCTGCTCCCCTTGCCTGTGCTCTCCCGCTCTCTATCTCTGTCAAACAAATAAATAAAAAATCTTTAAAAATAAAAAAAAATTAAAAATTAAAATTATTCTAGAATGCTCTGAGCAGTTGAGCAAATACTCATGTACGTATTTACTAATATGACCTCAAAACTGGGAACTATAGGGGCACCTGGGTGGCTCAGTAGGTTAAAGCCTCTGCCTTCAGATCAGGTCATGATCCCAGGGTCCTGGGATCGAGCCCCACATTGGGCTCTCTGCTCAGTGGGAAGACTGCTTCCCTTCCTTTTTTTCTGCCTGCCTGTCTGCCTAGTTGTGATCTCTGTCAGTCAAATAAATAAAATCTTTAAACAAAACAAAACAAAACAAAACTGGGAACTATATTAACCTAATAAGATGCAGGTTTTGCCAAATTTGTTTGCTGATTTAAAGGATTCAAAAAGGCCAGTCACCCACTCCTAAGAAGAATTCTATCTGCTGCCACACTTTCATTTATACATACAATCTGGTAAATAAGGGTTAAGGACCTTATGCCCTGTATGGGTTGTTCTGACAGTATTAAATATGAAAAGAGAGCTTTATTTTAACCTCTTGGTGATGTCCAATAAGTAGCTTCTGACCATGAACTTCGAACTTCCAATCCATTTGTGCATTGTGCTGGCACAAGTGTGTGTATCTTTGCTTCAACACCTTTGTTAAGATCAAATCCATCTTTGTAATGTAGATTCTTAGTAATGATGGTCTGTTTGATAAGAAGATGAGACAAAGTCAAACTTACAGTGACAGCATCATGAGCCACATTATTAGGGCTAAGAAGTCACCCTGGAGTGTTCCCAATATCTAAGAAATTCCTAATGATTATCAAATACAATGTCCTAGATATATTCTAGGCAGACTCATTTCTGCATATTGTATCATTTGAGAATCTTAACATCTTATACAAAATAAACCCAGGGGTGCCTGGCTGGTCTAATGGGTAGAGCATTGGACTCTTGATCTTGGGGTCGTGAGTTCAAGCCCCATGCTGGGTGTAGAACCTATTTAAAAACAAACGATGACAACAAACAAAACAAAACCACAAATAACCCCAAAAAAATCTGGAAAAGAAAAGAGTCTCTATGGCAAGATCTTGAGCTATAATGAACTTGAAATCAAGAGATAATTTTCAGATACCATATGCCTATTACATGACAAATGATCTAATCACATTTCAAGTATCATTTGAACTCTTCAGTAACCATATACAGTAAAACCTTGGAGGCAACTGGAGCAAGGCAGACAAACTATGAGCTCCCAGAGGACCACAATCATGTCATTTATCCTTGTATTCTTGATACCTAGCCAAGTGCCTGGCACAAAATGTTGCTCAATAAATGTTGTACTTGAATTGTCTCTTGAAACTACCTATGAATTGAGGAAGCTAACAGTATGCCTCATACAACAGAAATCTTTGAACATGCTTGGCTATGTCCTTAATAAGTCAATAAACTTTCACTGAACACTTACTATAATATATGCAAAGAACTATGCTGTGTTCTGGGAGGCAAGTGCAAAGATAAATAAGGCTTAATTCCTACAAAGAAAAAGCTTACAGTCCAATAGCCTGTATAAGACCCTTATACAGGCATTTACGTAACCGTAAAATGTGTAAGTATTCTTCAAGTCTACATTCCATGAAATCAAAATTTTTTTTTTCCCTACACTTCTAATGGTAGTCTTAATACTGGGTGGGGTAAAAATAGATGTGGCAGGATACATAGGCAATAGCAGCAGGCATGGCAGCTTGTTATTTCTTAACAATAACTATTGAGAGGGTGCCTGGATGGCTCAGTCGGTTAAGTGTCTGCCTTTGGCTCAGGTCATGATCCCAGCGTCTTGGGGTGGAGCCCCACACCGGGGTCTCTCTTCAAAGGGGAGCCTGCTTCTCCCTCTGCCTCTGCTGCCACTCTGTCTACTTGTGTTCTCTCTCTCAGTCAAATAAACAAATCTTTAAAAAAAATAATAATAATAGCTATTGAGATACAGGATTCAGAGTGGACACTGACATCAAAAATTACAGGAAAGGTCCTAATAATCACAACAAGTTTGCAAGTGCTTGCTTTACTTACCTTCCAATATTTGCTACCAATGTTTCGGTATTTTAATTCATATTCTATTGGGCAGTCTTTAAAATTATCCAGAAACAGTGGACGTTGCCATTGCAAAGACAGATAACCTAAATATCCAGGGTCCACTATCTCAAAATCCTCAGGAGGATTAACTGAAATAAAATCAATAAAATATTTTTACTTTTTTTCCTGTATCTTATGACAAAATTTGCTAAATCTAGATTACTTCCATATGACCAGGTGGTAAATGGATAAATAAACTGTAGTACATCTACACAATGGAATATTATTCAGCCATAAGAATGAAGTACTGATCCACGCTACAACATCCAAAGGCCCTGAAAACTTTAAGCTAATTTGAAAGAAGTCAATCACAAAAGATCACATAAGACCAATTTATATGAAATATTCATAATAGGCAAATCCGTAGAGACAAAAGTCAATTAGTGGTAGCCAGGAGCTGGAGGAAAGGAAAAATAACACATGACTACTGTATAAATATTTGAATTCTTTGGGGAAGGGGATATAAATATTCTGGAATTGAGTAGTTGGGGCTGTTAAACAAGTATATTGTGAAGATACTACAGACCACTCAACAGTACACTTTAAAAGTCTGTGTTTTATGTTACGGAAATCATATCAATAAAGCTGTTAAAAAGTGTAGATTAGGGGCACCTGGGTGGCTCAGTGTATTAAGCCTCTGCCTTTGGCTCGGGTCATGATCTCAGCGTCCTGGGATCGAGCTCTCTGCTCAGCGGGGAGCCTGCTTCCCCCTCTCTCTCTGCCTGCCTCTCTAACTGCTTGTGATCTCTGTCTGTCAAATAGATAAATAAAATCTTAAAAAAAAAAAAAGTCTAGATTACTGCTATATGCAAATATGACTTTGCCTACCTAGCTACTAAATTTTCATAGAAACAGGCAATTGAACATGGAGTTATCTCTGTGGTTATATAGACCAGAATTTGGCCCAAGATGGGAACACTTTATTACATAAATCTCTCTAATCAGTATTAATTCAGTGTTTACTATATTCATATAACACAAAAGGGATAGAAAATGTAAAATATGACTACTATGGCTTAATGCCTTAAGGATTAGAACAAGCAGATCTTGTCATTCCATTCTGGTTAACTGAATTCTCCAACTAAAGTTCATTACTATCACAGGGAAAACCAGGGCCACTCTTCAGAAGGACTTAAGAAAAAGTGTCAGGCAGCTGAGCAGAGTAAAAAGCCCGTTTTATTTGTCGTGAGGAGCAGTGGACGGCAATGGCTGCCCCAACTGGTGGTTTAAAGAGCAAACGAACAAGTAATTCTATAAATTTTCTCACTAGCAAATCTAATAGTACTATAGTACTGCCCTCATGTTGCTTTTCTGCTCATAATTTCCTTTCATTTTTGCCCATTTGTTCATTTTAATGCCTCTCATGAAACATATTGATGTGAAGAAAAGAATCTACAAAAAGATTATAATTTGCGGTACAAATTATGATTTGATATGGGACCCCCACCAGGTACCAATAAAGAATGTCTCTATTGAGGATAAAATGACAATCCTATTGTTTCAATTCTTATAGTTACAAATCTTTGTGAAATGAATTGTTCTGATTACCTTCTGCAATAAGGAAAATTCAGTAGGCATTTAATAATTCTGTAATTATGTTTAAATTTTACTTTTTAAAACATTTTTATTTATTTTTTAAAATTTCTTTTCAGTGTTTCAGAATTCATTGTTTATGCACCACACCCAGTGCTCCATGTAATACGTGCCCTCCACAATACCCACCACCAGGCTCACCTAACCTCCCATCCCTTGCCCCTCCAAAACCCTCAGTTAGTACCTCAGAGTCCACAGTCTCTCATGGTTCGTCTCCCCCTCCAATTTCCCCCAACTCCCTTTAAATCTCTGCATATTTTTCCATATTTATCTAATTATCTCAAAGATTAAGGACCACAAATAAGTTTCCAGTTAGTTGAGTATTAGGCAATGAGATTTCAGATAATTAACCTATTTCTTAGAAGACTATACGAAAAGGTCTAAAAAGTGTCTTTTAGTTTGACTTTTATCCTGCAAAATGTTTGTTACCATTAGTTACCTTAAGCATGAGGCTGGCTAGTAAGAACATATCTTTTGTGTATGGACTTCCTAAAATATTTCCAGTAATAATCTATCTACTTGTTATGCACTTCCACAGGGTAGGTTGAAAAGACAGTTAATATCCTAAATTTTAGGGCGCCTGGGTGGCTCAGTGGGTTAAGCTGCTGCCTTCGGCTCAGGTCACGATCTCAGGGTCCTGGGATCGAGTCCCATATCGGGCTCTCTGCTCAGCGGGGAGCCTGCTTCCCTCTCTCTCTCTCTCTCTCTCTGCCTGCCTCTCCATCTACTTGTGATCTCTCTGTCAAATAAAAAAAAAAAAAAAAAAAAAATATCCTAAATTTTAAAACTACTCCATTGTTTGTTTACCTTTTATCTCAGCATTTGAAGGCACAGAGACAAACGTTGTGCAAATAAGCAGGGTACAGAAGTGTCTCACATCCAAATGAACGAAAGCCATTTCTCCAAGATTAAATACCTTGAAATTTCCACTCTAAGAAGGAAAAATACATTTTAACTTTATCTTACTTCAAATAACTAAGACTAAATGTGATTAAAAACACATTTGATAACTCTGTGTGCCTTCAACTAGGAATTAGGAAAACTGTGCCCCTTTGAACCATGGAAACAAAAAATCAGGTTTGGAACCAATAACCTAGAAAGGGAGGATTCTAGGCTCATTTTTCCCTAACAGTTAAAAAAAAAAAAAGCAAGACAAACATATAAACATGTAACTGCTTGTATCCCTTCATATCGGCCCCCCAACATAGACTTTTCCATACATCACATGCTCTGGCCAGGATAGGATAACTTCAAATAGCCTTCAGCCTAAAGACTGAAGTCAGAGCCTAAAGACTGAGTCAGACCCACCAGAGTGTCCTTATTGGATCACAGTGGGAGTTATGACATCATTAATCTGCATAGCAACACTCTCCTGTAGCAATAAGATAAATACACTGATACATATACTCTTTTCTGAGATTAAAAAGCATTTGAAAGTTATCTGATTACCAAGAAAGCACAGAACCTACACCAAAGCCTCAGACTTTTTTTGCTCCATAAGTATTAAACCATCATCCTCTACTCTTTATCTGTTTCTGTTTGCTGTATCAGTAAATAGCATTCTCATCTTCCCGGTCGCCCAAACCAGAAACCTGGGAGTTCAACTTCTCCCTCTCCCATACCACCTCTCCCATTATCACCACCCCTTCCAAGATGAACTTATCATTAGGATTTCATTATCCAGTCTTTCCTGTCTTCAAACCATCCTCCATACCACATACAGCCAGAATGACCTCTCTAGAAAGCAAATCTTACTTTTCACCTGTTTCTTAAAACAACACTTCACTGTCATAGAATACAACTTAATAGTCTTTACATTCTTGAAGAATATTAGTTGTATGACAGAAATTTAAAGGATTCATGTCTCCACATAACGACTTAATCAAAAACCACTCTTCTTTCAAAGAAAAATCACTACTCCCAATTCTATACTTCTCCTTGAGTCTATACTCCTGGAACCAACAATTTCACAGGAAGTTAAGGAGTAAAGGTCACTATACCAATATTCAGTGATTACCTTTCTTTTCTCTTACATAAATTCATTAAGCAGGGGAGACCCTCTCTCCCTGTACCACCCTCTTCAACCTACCTGGACCGTCTATAACATTCTAATGTTGCTAGGTTTCAATTATTATAACACAGAACCTTGAGATCAAACTATTAAAGCCAGCCATGTATTTTGGAGGCTATGTTAGCCCAGCCTCATTTATATGCTGGGAAGTAAAACTCAGACTTGCCCAAGATTACACAGCAAGTTAGTAACAGAGCTGGAAATAAGACAGAAACATGATCCCTAACCCGGTGTACTTCCACCCTATGCTGGATCCCACACGTTTGAGGGTTATGAAACCTTCCTCTGGGACTCCAGCATTTAAGTCTTCCTTCAATTAGCTAGCCAGGCTGAGTCCACACCATGCTCTTGTTTTCCTATGTCTCATAAAATCATAAGAGAATAGCATTTCTCTTACTAATGTTGGGTCCATGGTCAAAGGAGCGAGACTGATACAAAGTGAAGATCAAGCAGAGCTTTATTTCGTGCCAAGCATCGAGAATCAAACCGACCGGCCAGGGCCGTCTCCTGCAAAGAGGCGACCTCTCTCTGCCTTATAGACTAGCTTTTAAGGGCAAAGGCCATGTGGTTGGGCTTGGCCACGCACAGGTGGCCAATGAGATTGTAACACACAGGGAAAGCTGCACAGTCATGCTAGGTCACACACGGGTGGCCAGTTGAATTACAATTTACCCTAGTAGACATTTGAACCAGCCTATCATCTTGGTCAGAATTAGTGCCCAAAAGGCGCCCAGAGGGCGGGGTCCATACTCCTTGGTAGCTAAGGAGACAGTATGGGCCCCCATTGATTGGATACCTCCACCTGGCCTGACCCACCCTTGTATTTGAGCTTTGTTACCTAGGACTGGTTTCTGGGACTTGTGTTTAAGTAAGTTCCCTGGGCGGGGGGGCACAGGGCCAGTTTAAGTTTTACTGCATAAACAACAAAATCACTGTTTAACCGGATGGAGCTGCTCTGGCTAAATAGGCCCTTACACTAAGATCGAATAAATCTGCCTCAATTCCTCCCTGCCCACATGCAAACCCATTGCTGTCCTCTAAAGCATCTGTAAGTAGTAAGTAGGCCTGTCAACAGATCTTCCACAGAGATGCTCTCATGGATTGAGATGAACACTCTGGCTACATTTTCATCTAAGGCAGCACATAGGTCTGACAAAGAGAAATCCTTTCCTATTCCTAATAAGGACAAATCCAATCAGAACTCCCTTAAACTGCTCCCAGAAAGATCTTGAAGTTCTCTCTTCTTTATCAATCTGTCCTTATATATTTTCATAGACCTGTGTCATGTGCAGCACAAATGGTGAGAGTTAAAAATCCCTTGTTTCTGCTCCTTTTATAAGCTACTGAAATTTTATTTAGGCTACCAAATCACATATTTCCTACATGGGCCCAACACATTTAAGCAAAGGTAGGAAATGGAATAGTCACTTCCTGAGTCACTTTTCTATAAACCTATGAAAGGAGTCCCCCAAATTTCAATGCACTTAGGGCCCCACCTAGACTTTCTCACACAAATGAATGTGAAGACAACTCTTTCCTTGGCTTCCGGGTTACAAGACTGCCACTTGAGCAATGAGGTGCTTTACGTACTATGTGGTTACCAGGAAAGACAGGATTTTTCACAAGAGGGGAAGGAACCTGAAGGCAAAGGGAAAATAGGGGATGAAAACACAGACATACAAAATTTAAAACAGTTTCTGGTAAACTCTCCACCCCAGCCCACAGTTAACAACCATAGTTAACAACAAACCCCATCTGGTCTTAACTCCTTATTTTTAAAAATGAGGACATACCAAGAGAGGTAAATGAACTGTCCAGACTCACACAACTTATTGTTGTGTGCCGGAGGTAGGACTAAAAACCAGATCTCATGATCCCTTTCCACTGACTAAACAATAAATTTTCTTGTTATAAGGAGTCTGTGCTAAGCCCATTTTACTAGAAGCCTCCCCTAACCTTGTTCAGCCTACTTTCACCACCCAAACCATCAACCCAGCACACAGTTTTACCATCATGACCTTTCTGGCAGAATAATAATTGAAAAAGCTTTCACTGAGCAATTTTTTTTTTTTTTTTTTTTTTTTTTTTTTGCCAGATGCATTTCCAGGTAAATCTTGTCCAGGATACAATGTATAAGTAACAAGCCATAATATCCATAGTAATAGCAATCCTCCTACTATTTATTCAGCATTCACAGCATTCCAGGCACTACTCTGTGCTAAGCACCATACATACATTATATCATATAATACTCATAGTCAGCCTTGGATGCACATACTATTTTCATTCCCATTTTAAAGACCAGAAGCTGAGTCACAGAGAAATTAAACAACGTCCTGTAAATCACGCGGACCATAAATGATGAAGCTTGGATTTGAATCCAGACAGTTTAGTACCAGAGTCCTTGATGACAACCACTAGGCTAGACATTTTCCACTGTTAAGATTAATGTGGAGGGCAGCTTCCTGTTTCTACCCACTCAGTTTCACACAACACTATTGCTTAAACAGTTTCCCGCTGAGAATCTCCTTTGGAATGGCAAGCCTAAACTATTTCCTGTTTTCAGCCTCACTTCCCCACCTCTTCAAAGCCATGCTACATAATTCCCTTGTTCTAGGAGTTGGGCAAAGATAATCCTTGCATGACTGGAGAAACTCCAGGTACTTACCAATAATATGGTTTCTCAAGAAATGAATTATCATAGGCAATTATCACAGGTCCTTCTTTTTTTCTCTTCTTCACTTTGGAGACATTAATTAGAATCTCTAACACTTCCCTTCCTGTCTGATGAACAAGCACACTGGGGAAAAAAAAAAAAAAGATAGTGTTCCTGAAATAGCCAGCAGGCCAGGATATGGATTCTGCAATTCACAAGACAGGGAGGTTATGGGTGGGGCTAAAAGCATCTAAAGCAAATTTAGAATTACAGCAGGGAATGTAAAAGCTGACAGGACTAATTAATCTTTGGATAAACAAACAGATATATAGCTGAGGAACTTGTTAAAACAAAAGGCACAATGGTCTAAGTATCAACTGGGATTTCAGCACTGCCTCAACCACTAATGTTCCTGGAAGCAAATTATAATTCAATTCCCATTTATACAACAGAGATAATGACACCAGCCTGGCAGATTCGTGCTGAAGACTAAAGGAAACAATGTATATGAAAGGACTATAAGAAGACTTAAATTGCTCTGTATGCTTAGGAGGAGTCTGCTTCTGAGCACCTTACTACTAATCACAATTTTGAAAATAACTTGCTGTAACCCTACACATTTGCTCCTACTAATTCAGGAAAATTGATCCGTCCACAGTTGATAAGTAGACAGTTATCAACCTCCAACTTCTACTACCCTTACTGATCATCAGTTGCCTTTACTGATACTTGTCTTAATAACTAAAACTTCACACATTCTGCTATCTTTTACAATTTACAAAGAACTGCTTAAATTATTCTAACAAATCTGCAGGTGTATAAGGTTGGTATTACATATTTATAGTCAGTAACATTGCAGTTTAGAGAAGAGATATGACTGGCACAAGATCCCACAGCTGATACAATCTTTATGGAAAGGCAAGGTAAAAGAAGTAAGGGACAGAAATGTTGCAAGCCTAAGAATGCAGTCACTTACATAATACGGTTTTGTGGAAAAGTTCCATTTCTGCCTTGACAAAGAAATACAAAAAGACTATTCCAAAGTATCCGAAATGACCACAGCTTCTTGTTTCATTTATAAAGGCAGTGAGCAAGTTGCAGAATTAAATAATAATGGAGTTTTGTAATGCCACTAAAGTGATCTCTAAAAAAAACACATAAAGTATGGCCATGTCATTTATGTTGCCGTTAGACTGAGAAACCAGTGTTACAAAATTTGAGACTTTCCATTCACATTATTTAAGGTATCTAAAAAAATCAGCCAAAGCAGTAAGTAAGAATAGGGCTTGGAGAAAAATAAAATGGGAAAATGGGAAGTACAGCTTGAGGAGAGGAAAATAGAAAAGTGGGGTGATGGCAAAGGCTTAAATCTTATCTGCGGACAAAACAATTTATGTGGTCTTAAGTGAAAATGCACACCGACTAGGAGATCTGGGCTCTAGTACCAACTTTATCAGGGGATTTAGAAAATAATAACAGGAACTATAGTTTTTTAAACTCTTACCAGGTGTCAGGCTTGGTGCCAGATGCTTGATATGTGATGAGGGAACAGAAGGCTAGCTGAAGAGAAAAGTGTAAAATGACACCCTGCAGCCTCCCCTTACCCCCCCACTCCAGGGTGGGACAGGTGTGACATTCTTCCAGGAATCTCCCAACAATCTTAAAGTTAATACCTTGCCAGGGGTAAAAACAACCTTAGCTTGATAATAGCCAGGCCTCCAGTATCCTGAGGTTCTTCTTTAACATATAAATATCCTTTTGTAACCTCTTTTGCCTTACTTATCCCAACTCCAGAGTATCAAATCAGCCACCCCTCAAGATCCCGCAGCAGCTCTTTCTGCCCAGGGATCCTGTCCCCATGCTTTAATAAAACACCCTTTTGCACCAAAGACCTCCCAAGAATTCTTCCTTGGTCATTGGCTCCAGACTTAACTCCACTGAACCTCACCTATATTCTAAAACCACATCAATATGGATTAGCTCACTTAGGTCTCACAAACATTGATAGTTACTGTATTATTATTTTTTTTTAAAGATTTCATTTATTTATTTGACAGACAAAGATCACAAGTAGGCAGAGAGGCAGGCAGAGAGAGAGGGGGAAGCAGGCTCCCTGCTGAGCAGAGAGCCGGATGCGGGACTCGATCCCAGGCCTCTGGGATCATGACCTGAGCCGAAGGCAGAGGCCCAGCCTACTGAGCCCCCCAGGCACCAGATAGTTACTGTATTATTATCCCCATATTACAAATGAGTCATTTGAGGCTCAGAAAAGTTAAAGTACTCAAGGTCATATAATTTAAGCAAGAGAAGATGTGTATATCTGATTCTTAAAGACTGTGTTCCTTTTAACATATAATGCTGCCTTTCAACTAATCTCACTTTAGTGAAGCTAAATTTCCTCTCAAATTCTCCCTGGGATATCATCTGTTTCATTAGTTAATCTGCTGTGTATCTATGCATGGTTTCAGGATGTCACTCAAAAGTACTAGCTTCCCAAATAACTGACCTCCTTTCCAGGAGACCACCCGACGTGCACAAATGTCTAGTCACAGCTTCTGGCCTATGGCCATGACTCGGCATTATAATCAGCACCTCTGGAACCTGCCAGATCCTGAGGCCTGACAACATGCTGAGATCAATACATGGATCAATCAGCATATGAACTAGTGGTGAGTCAAATTCAATTTACGTTTCACTGGAGTAATTAATAAAGAATGCTGATGATGACTTTGTACTCTCAAACACACACACACACACACAAAACTTTGAATCAGGCAAATTCCTCATACTTGCCACTAGTCAAGTCTAAGTCACCTCCCACAAAAATACACAAAAACGTTAGGCACATGCTGAATGATAAAAATCACTGTAGACCAATGAAATACAGGTAGGATCTCTTTTCAACACATACCACTTTAACAACTGGTTATCTATAATACGATTATATTTGTGCCCTTGACAACATTACATTCTAACACTGTATACAAAAAAAACATTCTTTCTGTAGATGATTTCCTGTATGACACCCTGAGTTCATCCAGCGAACAAGTTTCCGAAAGCGTGCACAAAGCCAGTGAATTCAGTTTTGAGCTACAATAGCCACTGCCAGTTTTACAGTGTTAATTCATGAAGCAGTTTGCACATTTCAGAATCAGTCCCTCATCTGAGACGATCAGAGCTTTATTAGTTTATAACCCCACCCCACAAAAACACCAACAGGCTTTTAGAACCCTTTAAGAAAAGCCCCCACTTCATCCACTTCCTAGAACAGGTCAAATTGTTATTATGAAATATACCTTACGCTCTATTCAAGTGAAGTCACAGCTGTAAAGCAATGCAGCATCTTGAAAGGCACCACTTCTCTGGAGCTGGCAAAGCAATCTCTTTTGTTCAACACCCTTCTCCCCACTACCAGATGCTCCCAAATACTTGTCAGCAAGCAAACACTGTGTACTCAAAACATTCACTTCGGGTTACTTCGCGTAATAACTTCAAAAGTAAATAATACAGTGTGCCCCACCCCCTCCAATTAAGTAAAAACAGAATACAAAATGTACCACACCAGGGGTTTTTTTGGTTTTTGGGTTTTTTTTTTAAGATTTTACTTATTTATTTGACAGAGAGCACAAGCAGGGGGAGAGGCAGCCAGAGGGAGAGGGAGAAGCAGACTCTCTGCTGAGCAAGGAGCCAGGTGCACCAGATCCCAGGACCCTGGGATCATCACCTGAGCTGAAGACAAATGCTTAACCGACTGAGCCACCCAGGAGTCCCACCACAGCAGGGTTTATATGACTTTGAGGTTATTCTACCAGTGTATTTCTTCATGTCCATGAGGTATAAACTGCAAATACATGAAAATATGGTATTATATTACATATAATACCATCAATTACAGTAAGGAATGCTAAGGAAAACATATGAATATTTCTATCATGTATTCATTATTTAATAATTAGTTTTGAAAGCCTACTACATGCCAGGCCCTCTTCCAGGCATGAGGGATATAACAGTGTACAAGACAAAAAAAAACCTGCCCTCCTAGGATTTTCTAGTATGGGACAGAGACAATAAACATATCAGATAATTATAATTTCTAATTTTGATTTTTATAAAGAAAAATAAGGCAAGATAATATGAAAGAGAGTAATGAGGGCTCCTTTTAGATAGGGTGGTCAGGGAATGTCTCTCTGAAAAAGTGGCATAAAGGACCTCAATGAAGTGAGGAAATGAATCAGGTAAAGGATTCTTGGAGAAGAGTCTCCCAGATAGAAGGAACAGTCCATTCAAAAGCCCTGAGGTGGGAATCAGCTTAGCAGTTCTAGAAGTAGCAAGACCAGTAGGATAGGAAAGGGAAAAGTTTATACCATCTCCTAAAGATAGGCAGGCTGTAGACCATGGTAATGAGTTTCTCATTTATTTTAGTAAAATGGGAGACAACTGGGCAGTTGTGAGTATAGTAACACCGTGTGTGGAAGGAAAGAGTAGAAGCAATAATACAGGCTAAAGCTGATGGTTATGGGGATCAAGCTGATAGCAGTGGAGATGCTAATAGGATCTACTGATGGATTAAGTACAGACAATCAGAGGATGATGCCTCTATTTTTGTCCTGGGCAACTGGGTAATTATTTATGTAGCCTGGGGATGATGGACAAGGAATCAGCTTTGTATGTTTCAATTTAAGCTGCCTAACTAAACATCCAAGGGAGGAAGATGAATAGTTGGATATTTGACTCTGTTAGGGGAAAGAGCAGAGCTATAGATAAATATTTGACAGTCACCCATATATAGACAGTATTTAAAGACACAGGAACAACTGAAGTCCCCCGGGGTATAAAAGAAATGAAATAAAGAAAAGAGGACCAAGAACTGAGATCTGGGACCCTCCAATATATTGAGGTCAAAAAAATGAGGATGTACCAACAAGGGAGACTAAGGAGAGGCCTGGGAGATAAGAGGAAAATCTAGAGCTTATAATGCCCTAGAAACCAAGTAAAGAAAATATTTCAAAGAGTGATAGATAATGTCAAAAGTTGCTGATTGGACAAGATGAGCCCTGAAAAAAATCTAATGGATTTGGCAAATAGGAAATAGTTGGTGACATTGATAAGGGATCAGGTGGAATATCTGGAGCAAAACTCAGATGAAAGTGGGTTCAGGAAAGAATGGATGAACCAATGGAGACAATGAGTACAGTTAACTCTGCTAAAAGTTCGCTATAAAGGAACATGGGTCCCTTTAGGGAGATCATAGGTGCTCCTGCTAGGAGGCAATCACACATTTCTTCCCTCTTAAAAACATAAATGGAGAACATCTCACATGAAGGTTTGATCCTACTTTTTCCTGGATTTTTTTTTTTTTTAAAGATTTACTTAATTATATGAGAGAGAGAGAGCACACCCAGAGGGTAGGGCAGAGGGAGAGAGAATCCTTTTTTTTTTTTTTTTTTTTAAGATTTATTTATTTTAGGGGCACCTGGGTGGCTCAGTGGGTTAAAACCTCTGCCTTCAGCTCAGGTCATGATCCCAGGGTCCTGGAATCGAGCCCCGCATCGGGCTCTCTGCTCAGCGGGGAGCCCGCTTCCTCCTCTCTCTGCCTGCCTCTCTGCCTACTTGCAAACTCTGTCTGTCAAATAAATAAATAAAATCTTAAAAAAAAAAAGATTTATTTATTTTAGTTCAGAGAGAGAGCGTGTGTGCACGAGCCGGGGGGATGGGCAGAGGGAGAAGGGAAGCAGATTTCCCGCTGAGTGGGGACCCTGAGCCTGGACTCAAACTCTGGACTCTAAGATCACAACCTGAGAAGGATCCAAGAGTAGGAACCAACTGAGCTACCCAGGTGCCCTGAGGGAGAAAGAACCCTTAAGCAGACTACATGCTAAGTATGGAGCCCAACTTGGGGCTCAATCTCACAACCCCGAGATTACAACCCGAGCCAAAACCAAGAGTCAGATGCACAACTTGCTGTGCCACCCAAGTGTGCCTCCTTGGATTTTTGCCATACCTGTTCAGGAATGGCCAGTGTTCTTATTTGAGGGATGCAGGCCAGAGTAGTTTAGAATTGTAATATGAAAGGGTATCATACCAAGGCAGAACATTTTTTCTAGGGCAACTAGAACCTAACAACATTTAGTTTCACCAGTGATTACTTTAACAAATAGTTTCCATCTGCTCAAATTATTTTGCAAAGCTATCTCCAACTTCTTGCATTTCTAATGAAATAATATTTTTTTAAAGTACCATTTCTCCAGACTATAGAACATCTTTACTTTCTATGAGCAATAAGAGATTTCATTTTTTCCCTCTAAATTTGTCTTTTGCAGCAAAAGTCATCAGAAACAATTTTATTTTTATAAGGCACATACAAAATTCAGCTGTTAGTCTAGAAAGATAATTGAAGATCTGAATTGAGAAATATCAGAGATTCTGGTTCCTGTCCCAATTTCAAAGTGCAAAATAGGAACATATAGTCTTTATCATATGTTGAAAACTTTGAAACTGAGGGATCAAACAATACAACTGGACATACTCCCAGAGTTCCAGTAAGTGCATCTTTCTAGGTGAGAGGATTTGTATTCTGGCTTACAGAATATCTGAGACTCAGACCATGGATGGTAGCTAATCCATCATTTCAGGCTCTTGCTGTTTCCTTCTTCTCCCTCATGCCCCTCTGCTACCTGCTCCCACTTTCTTTTCTCTTCTGATTCTGTTTTTTTCCCTCTTTTTCTTTTTTTTTTTTAAAGGATTTTATTTATTTATTTGACAGAGATCATAAGTAGGCGGAGAGGCAGGCAGAGAGAGAGGGGGAAGCAGGCTCCCCGCTGAGCAGAGAGGCCAATGCGGGGCTGGATCCCAGGACCCCGGGATCATGATCTGAGCCAAAGGCAGAGGCTTTAACCCACTGAGCCACCCAGGAGCCCCCCTCTTTTCCTTTGTCTGACTAATGTTTCTCTTTTCCATTAAGTAGAAATTAATATATTTTTGGATCACTAGCTGTCCTCATTTTTAAAACACTGGAGCATTCTCTCTTGTCAATACATTTTCATTAGTTCTTTGGCTTCAGAATAATCACTTGATCACTTGAAGATTAAACCAGTTTTTATTTATTTATTTATTTATTTATCAATATTTTTTTATTTTTTTTAAGATTTTATTTATTTACTTGACAGAGAGATCATAAGTAGGCAGAGAAGCAGGCAGAGAGAGGGGGAAGCAGGCTCCCTGCTGAGCAGAGATCCCAATGTGGGGCTCGATCCCAAGAACCTGAGCCAAAGGCAAAGGCCTAACCCACTGAGCCATCCAGGCGTCCCAGTTTTGTTTTTTTTTTTTTTAATTAACATATAATGTATTATTTGTTTCAGAGATACAGGTCTGTGATTCATCAGTCTTACACATTTCACAGCACTTACCATAGCACATACCCTCCCCAATGTCCATAGTCCAGCCACGCTATCCCTCCCACCCCCCCCCCGTCCCCTCCAGCAACCTTCAAAAGATTAAACCAATTTTGTAACCTTGTAAGCTTACTTTTTAAAAGTGCTTATGATAGGGGCGCCTGGGTGTCTTAGTCAGTAGAGCATCTGATTCTTAGTTTCATGATCAGGTTTCATGACCTGACACAATCAGGTCATGATCTCGGTTGTGAGATTGAGCCCAGCATCAATCTCTGTGCTCAGCAGGGAGTCTGCTTGAGATTCTCTCTCCCTCTCTCTTTGCCCCTTTCCAAAATAAATAAATCTTTTTTAGAAAAGTACTTTTCTAAAGTGACCCAAAAAAGAGTTATTTTTTTCCTTGTATGTAGGCAGAGATTTCTTGTTCTTCAGTAGACTTACTGCCCTTCATAAAAATGCATTCCCTTCTTTAAGAGAACTGGTTTTTATAATCATATCTGCTTAAAGGTTCAAAATCCACTTCATAATCCTAAGTGATAGGTCTGCCTACCTACCCAGTTTCTCACTGTTTTTGATAGCTGCTTTTGAGCTTCAGTGAGGCAATATTTCCGAAGTGACTTTAGAGCACTCTCATCAAAATGCAACCTCAAAATTTCTATTTTTTCAGCCTGACCTTTGACTGTTGTATTGGTGCTGACACAGTCATAGGCATCCATCCAGATCTTCATTTCACAGACATTTCCTGAGTATCCATTTTGCACTCAAGGCTACAGATACGAAAACAAGCAAGATATAGTGTTCCCTACCCTAAAGTCTACTGAGGGAACAATTAAAAAAAAAAAAAATTACTACACATCTATTAGAATGGCCCAAATCTGGAACACTGACAACAAATGAGAAAGAGGATGTGGAGCAACAGGAATGACCATTCATTGCTGGTGGTAATGCAAAGTAGTACATCCAGTTTGGAAGACAGTTGGGTGATTTCTTAAAAGCTAAACACATTCTTGCTATACCATCCAGCAAACATACTCATTGG